TTGGGGGGAAAAAAAAAAAAAATTAAAAAAAAAAAAGAAGAGAAAAAAAAAGAAAAGAACTTCATAAAAATTATCTCTAACTCAACAAATATTGAAAAATATGGAAAGCTGTCCTGAAAAGAATAAAAAAGTAATAAACAGAAAATACTGAGAATACTTAAAATTTCATTATAATTCGAATTTCAAATCTATGTTTTTTCAATTTTAAGGAAAATGAAGGTGGCAAATTGGTTGTGATAAAAATGGAGATACATGTTATTAACTTATGTGAAACATTATAAGAAACAAAAACAAACTTTATTTTATTGGTATCATTGATGGGAACAAGTAGGTTTCCTCGGATAATTTTATTATGGTGTATACAAATAGAAATACATACCAAAATAAAAAATAGAGAGCATAAGAGTACAGTCAATTTTTCTTATTCAGAAATTTGTCATTGAGCTTACTGTCATTTTACTACATGTGAAAACTAGAAACTGGCAGGAAAATAAGAGACATTTTTCTATTTGTTGATAACTCCAATAAGATGTTTGGAAATTTAATCCATTAATAAAGCAATACTCATCTCTCATTTTGCCTTTTAATGATGCCTAGCAACATATATCTAAGAATTCAAATGTTGATGAGACAGCAGAACTAAAGGTCTATGATGCTGTTTTACTGATTTACTTTAACTTTCTTTTTTGCACCCAGATAAATGTCTAACATCTGTAAAACTCACTGGTTTGAAGTGTATAATTCAATGTTTTTTTTTTTTCTTTTTTTTTTGGTGAAGAAGCTTGGCCCTGAGCTAACATCTGTGCCAATCTTCCTCCATTTTACATGTGGCTCACTGCCACAGCATGGATTGATGAGTGGTATAGGTCCACACCCGGGATGTGAACCAGTGAACCTGGGCCACCTACGTGGAGTGTGCCAAACTCAACCACTACACCACTGGGCCGGTCCCTCAATGTGGTTTTTAATATATTCACAGAGTTGTGCAACCACCACCAGTCTAATTTTAGGATATTTTTTTTCACCCCAAAAGAAACTCTGTACCCATTAGTAGTCACTCTCCATTCTCCCCTCTCCTTAGTTCCTCCTGGTAGCCACTCATCTAATGTCTCTACAAACTTGACTGTTCTAGACATTTCATATAAATGAAATCATATAACGTGGTCTTTTGTGACTGGCTTCTTTCACTTAGCATTGTTTTCAAGTTTCATCCATGTTTGTAGCATATATTAGAATTTCACTGCTTTTTATGGCTGAATGATATTCCACTGTATGTATATATTACATTTGTTTATCCATTCATTTGTTGATGGACACTTAGGTTGTTTCCACTTTAACTGCACTATTTTACAGTCTCACCAGAAATGTACAAGGGTTCTAATTTCTCCACACTCTCAAATACTGTCTTTTAAATAAGAAGTAATTGTTTATATACCTGGACTGAAGAGTACTATTGCCTTCAGGTAGGCATATTCATATCCATCAATGCAGAGTTTAACCATGCTATTACAAAACTCCTGTAGTTTGAAGATGTGCTCCATCAATAATTTTCTTCTTTCTGTTGACATTTTATCTTTAATTAAAAACAAAGAAACAAACAAACGAGCAAAAAAAAGCTTCTAGTTTTTGGCTAAAATGCACAACTATTTTTATCCAATATATTTCCTTCTCACTAATTTCCAGCTTTGAATATAACCAACCTATAAATGTTTAAAATTCAATACCTCTGCAAGTAAATATGAAACTAATTAATGATCTTCAGACATCATTCCTTCAAGAAAAAAATGAAACGAGCTGTTAGTATAAAATAACCCCAAATGTAATGTTTCCTTTCAAAATATACCTTTGAGAAGATAAGCTGTAAAGACAACCACCTGAAAAACTGGCCAACCAAAATTTTACAAAAGACTCCAATTTTGTTAACAGGATTTAGTTAAGCTTATATTGGTTGAAAAAAAGATGAGCAAAATCATCTAGATTTCTAAAAGTTACATATACTACTAAAATGAAAACAAGTATTTAGCAAAAAACACTGTCAAGAAAAAAGGTGAGTAAAATAAAGTTTTATGATAACTTTTTGACTTTATGTTTAAAACATCTGATTAGTTAACCAAAGCTTTAGTGAAGGTAGGCTGTAGAACACATTACAAATTTATGAGAAATGAATCAAGACTAGGAGTCCATAAATAAGATGGAATGTAGTGCTCCCTTCCAGTAGATCTACTGTTGATGAGATTTTAAGGTGATTTCTCTGTTAAAGAGGAGGAGGAAGCAGATAATTTCAAAATAACATAAAATGATGGGAAATGGAATATGCTAAGGAAATAAAACATAATTCCCAATTTATAAATTATTTCTGAACTCAAAAGGCAATTCTCATTTGAAGATGTGGCATCTTGTTGGTTAGTCACAAGCCATTCTGAAGTTAAACATTTATAAATCAGTGACTGCCTGTCTCCTCAAATAAATGAGAGTTGTAATCACCTTGGCATCAAGAAAAGGAACAAGAGAGTAAGGACTGTTCTGCAATTCTTCAGTACTGTTTAAGTGAGAGAATACATCCTGATGAATTGATTAAAAAAAAAAAAAAAAAAGCCCATCTTAGTATTCAAAGGACTACAGTGAAGAAAGGCACTTTAAAAATTTGTGAGAAGTATGGGGCTGGCCAGTAGAGTAGTGGTTAAGTTCGGGTGCTCCACTTCGGCAGCCCGGGGTTCTCAGGTTTGGATCCTGGGTGCGGACCTACGCACCTCTTGACAAGCCATGCTGTGGCAGGCGTCCCACATACAAAGTAGAGGAAGATGGGCATGGATGTTAGCCCAGGGCCAATCTTCCTCAGCAAAAAGAGGAGGATTGGCAATAGATGTTAGTTAGCTCAGGGCTAATCTTGCTCACCAAAAAAAAAAAAAAAAATTGGTGGGAAGTATATATTTATAAATATTTGATCACCTCTACGTAAGCTAACCCTGGATTCTTTGGTACTTATGCCAAAGTGCAAAAATTCCCAAGGCGTAGTCAGAAATAGCCTGCCAGACATAAATATATTCGTTTCAATTTTGTTGTGCTCTCATTTAAAAATATTTTGCAGTGATTAATGAATGAATTTATCAAAATGTAAAAATTATCTAAAGTAAAAAGGGTATTGGTAACTGAAACACTAGTCATCAGATATCTACCTTTAATCATAGCATTTTATAAAACTGATGCCACCTCTTATATCCTGGAAAAGGAAATAAAGAAGGAGCTTTTTACCTTGTTGAAGGCTACTGTGAAGACAGTTGACAAATGTTGCTAATATAGTTGCCACATTCATCACTTGCCAGCACTGGGCAAGACCAAGAGTGAAAAGTTCATTCCAATAAGCTTTTACTAATGATATGCTGTTTTCTTGCCTATAAAAACAAAACAAAACAAACACATAGATATTAACATATATTTTATAAACTTTACAATGGACTCAGATATTTAAAAATAAAATATTACTGAACTAAAATTATTCTAGAAAGACCAACTGGGCATGGGCTCGATCAATTCTGTGTTTTGTATAGCTGAAAGCAATTGATAAGAAAGGCTTAGAAATTTAAATATTAGCTAGCTAATTAATCGTTCAGCCAGTTTATAAGAACTGTTGCAAGTAGTATTTCAAACCAAAAGTCGGGGCTTTAATCCCACATTTCATGGAAATTGATGAAATAAAGATTGTTTTAAAAAATTTTAAAGTAAAACCACACATTTAAAAACTTATCCAAGTCTTCTTTTGCTTTAAATGCAGGTAAGCATTTTTTTAAAAGGGTAATTAAAATTATCTGATGGTAGGTAAGCAACCAATCTCCTGAGAGAAATGGTTTATTCTATATGTTTCAGATGGGATATTAGTATCCCTGTACATGAGATGCCAAGGATTTTATTAGGAGTAACAAAAGTAAGAAAGGTCAGAAGTCCTTTCCTGAACTTCTAAATAAGAAATCTCAGCAGCATGAGAGAGTAGAAAAAGTATTAGAATGGAAGCCAAGACACCAAGGTTTTTAAGCCCATGTCATCCACTTATTTTCCATTTGAAATTAGGCAAATAAGCTTCTCAGGTCTCAGGTGCTTAGCTATATAAAATGCAGAGGCACAATATGTCCTATGTCTTGCTCAGAGTTACTATGAGACTCAAATATAAGAATTATGTGAACAAGTCATGACATAAAGTATATGCAAGGCACTGTTCTAGGCAGTGGAGAAATAGCAAATAAACAAGATAGATTAAATCTGCCTTCATGAAACAGAAGGGAAACATAGTAAACAAACACATTATTTGAAATATTTTATATAAATATTATATACACCAATGCATATGGTTATACAAACATTAAGTCAGTTTCAGTTAATAAAAATTCCACAATATTATAAAGTAGGATGATGCATTAGAAAATGGCGGGGTGGAGTAGTGGTAAGGTGGGTGGAGAAGAATTTTCTGAGGGGCCCACATTTGAATAGAAAGAGAGGGGAAAGAACTTAAAAAAGAAAAAAAAAGATAGAGGGCAATAGTATTCCAGGAAGAGAGAAGAACAAGGGCAACTTGTTGAGGTAAGAACCAGCATGTAGTAGGTGTTCAATAAAAACAAGTGCATTAATAAATGCCATCCTCTTTTTCTGCAATGTCCTTCCCCTACCTTGTTTTACTAGTTAATATTTGTCCCTTAAAATACAGTTCAGAGCTCAAATTTTTTTTTGAGGAAGATTGGCTCTGAGCTACCATCTATTGCCAATCTTCCTCCTTTTTTCCCTTTTTCTCCCCAAAGCGCCAGTAGATAGTTGTATGTCATAGTTTCACACCCTTCTAAGTGCTCTATGCGGTACCCAGCCTCAGCATGGCTTGATGAGTGGTGTGTAGGTACATGCCCAGGATCCAAACCAGCGAACCCTGGGCCACAGAAGCAGAGAGTACGAACTTAATCGCTATGGCCACTGTGCTGACCCCAGAGCTCAATTTTTTGAAGAAACGTTCTCTTACCCATTCTACCCTCTTCAGTGCCATACATCCACTTATATTTTATACTTATTTCATGGTATTCAAATTTACTGGTATAGAGGAGTCTGTCCCCTCTACTAGATTCAAGTCTCACTGAAGGCAGAGACTTCCTTCTTCATTTCTGTATCTCAGTGAACAGCACAGTAGCAGGCATACAGCTGATTGTGGGGGTAATAGAACAGGCAGAAGTTAGAACTTAGAAAATACAGAGTTACAAAAGCTATGGGCGTGGACTCTTTATCAATTAAGCAATCTTTAAAGCACAACCTTTATACTTTATTACAAATAAGATAACGAAAGTATAAGGTTTCTTTAAGTTGGTGAGAATATTCTAATGAAAGGCACTGAAATTTTTTTCTTCCTAATAAATCTTTAAAATTAGGGTAGTCAGTATGTTTAATGGAAATCATTCAAGTTAAGAACTACAGCTTTTCTTACAACATTGCATTTTATTTAAGAATTGAGGAGTGACATCAGCATCATAGCATACTGAGTTGTTCCCTTAGTCTCTCCCCTTTAACTTACAACTAAATAGACATTCATTAACCATCAGAGAATAGACTGCACAGCACAACAGGACATCTGAGAGATCCATGCAGCTATACATCTGAAGGTGGGTGGACTGGATCCCCAGGAGGCAGTGGAACTAGGTGAATGCACCCTTCCCCTGCCTCGGTGGCAGCAAGCCAGGTCATGGATCTTCACACAGAGGCTGGTGTGACTGTAAGAGGAGGTGGGGACAGCCCGGCCTGCGTGAATGCTTTTGGAGTTGGAGCCCGGCCCATGGGGGGTACCCACTGTGCTGTGGTGGCCCTGCTAGTGGGACTGCTCTACACCAAGTGGTGGCTTAGCACCCATGTAGGCACTCCTCCCGCCTAGCGCACAGCAGCTCAGCCAGTCCCCTGCTGAGCAGGGGCCCCGCCTATGGTGCCCAACCCCCCTGCCCAGCGCAGAGACCTGGCCCCTGTGGGTGCAACTTGCAGGGCGGCTGCAATCAGCTCAGGCAAACACAGAGTAGCCCTAACCGCACAACGTCCAACAGATGGGGTGGGATCAGAAAATACAGTTCCTGTTCCCTCCGCCAGTAGTGGCAGGTGGAATCTGTGACCTGATACTACCACAAATGTGCCAGCAAAGGATCAATTCATCAAACACCATGAACTACAGTAACACTTCAGAGCAGAAGGAAAATGATAAGTCTCAAGAAACTAATCCTAAAGTCACAGAAATTTACAATCTAAATGACAGAGAATTCAAAATAGTTGTCATAAAGAAACTCAATGAGTTACAAGAAAACTCAGAAAGACAGTTGAATGAGCTCAGGAATAAAATTAATGAGCAGAGGAATACATCACAAAAGAAAATGAAACTCTAAAAACAAAACAAAACAAATTCTGGATATGAAGAACACAATTAATGAGATAAAAAATAATCTGGAAACCATAAAAAATATAGCTGATGTTATGGAGGACAAAATTAGTGAATTAGAGGGCATAAATATAGAAATGCTTCAGGTAGAGGAGGAGAGAGAACTAAGATTTTAAAAAAATAAAGAAATTCTTCAGGAAATATCCGACTCAATTAGGAAATGCAACGTAAGGATTGTAGGTATTCCAGAGGGAGACAGGAGAGAGAAAGGAGCAGAGAATTTGTTCAAAGAAATACTAGCTGAGAACTTCCCAAATATAGGGGAGGAACTGGATTTACAAGTACGTGAAGCCAATAGAACTCCTAATTACATCAATGCAGAAAGACCTCCAAGACATATAATACTAAAACTGGCAAAAGTCAATGACAAAGAAAAAATATTAAGGGCAGCAAGGCAGAAGAAAATAGCCTACAAAGGAACCCCCATCAGGCTTTTAGTGGATTTCTCAGCAGAAACCTTACAGGCTAAGAGAGAATGGAATGATATATTCAAAATACTGAAAGACAAAAACTTTCAGCCAAGAATGCTCTATCCAGCAAAGTTATCCTTCAGATATGATGGAGAAATAAAAGCTTTCCCGGATAAACAAAACCTGAGGGAGTTCATTGCCCCTAGACCTCTCTTACAAGAAAGGATGAAGGAAGTCCTCCTACCTTTAACAAAAAGGCAAAGGTTTACAAAGCTTAGAGCAAGGAGATAAATAGACAAAATCAGAAAATTGCAGTCCTCTATCAGAACAGGTTAGCAAACACTTAATTATAACATAAGAGATAAAGGGAAGGAAAGCATCAAAAATAACTATAAACACTTCAATTTAGTCACAAACTCACAACACGAAAAAGAATTTGTGAAAATAACTCAGAAGGAGAAGAGGAAAGGGATAGAACCTGCTTAGGCTAATGGAGATGAGACTAGCAGAAAATGGACTATCTCATCTATGAGATCTTTTATACAAACCTCATGGTAACCACTAAACAAAGATTCAGAATAGAGCCACAAATCATAAACAAAGAGAAAACTGAGAAAACCATCACAGAAACCACCAAACTGAAATGGCTGTCAGAAATACAAGGGAAGAGAAACAATGGAAATATAAAACTGGAAAAGAAGAGATAAAAAGGAGTATTAAGCCCTCATATATCAATAATCACTCTAAATGTAAATGGACTGAATTCTCCAATCAAAAGACACAGAGTGGCCGGATGGATTAAAAAACAAGACCCAACAATATTCTGCCTCCAGGAAACACATCTCAGCTCTCAAGACAAACACAGGCTCAGAGTGAAGGGATGGAAGACAATACTCAAAGCAAATGGCAAGCAAAAGAAAGCAGATGTTGCCATACTTATATCAGAAAAAACAGACTTCAAGATAAAAAGACAGGGGTCAGCCCAGTGGTATAGCAGTTAAGTTCACATGCTTTGCTTCAGTGGCCCAGGGTTCACCAGTTCAGATCCTGGGCACGGACCTACGCACCGCTCCTCAAGCCATGCAGAGGTGGCGTCCCACATAGAGCAACTAGAAGGATGTACAACTATGACATACAACAATCTACTGGGGTTTTGGGGAGAAAAAAGAAAAAAATAGGAAGACTGACAACAGATGTTAGCTCAGGGCCAATCTTCCTCAAAAAAAAAAAATTAAAAAAAAGGTAAAAAAAGACAAAGAGGGCCAGTATATAATGATAAAAGGGACATTCCACCAAGAGGAAATAACATTTATGAATATACATGCACCTAATACAGAGCACCAAAGTATATAAAGCAACTACAAACAGACCTAAAGAGAGAAATTGACAGCAACACAATAACAATAGGGGACCTCAACACCCTACATACATCAATGGATAGATCATCCAGACAGAAAGTCAACAAGGAAACAGTGGGTTTAAATGAAACACTTGAGCAGATGGACTTAATAGGTATATATATAGAACATTCCATCCC